AAAATATTATCCAATTAAATTTATGATATGAATTAACCAATAAAATAAGAACTAAATATTCATATCATAACAATATATTTTATATTAGGTGCTAAAATATTATATAATAACAATATATTTAAATTATAATTTAACTAATACATAAATTTATATTTGACAGTTCATTTAAATTCTATTAATTTAATATTTGCTTATTTATTTAATTATTTATTTACTTGTTTGCTTACTTGCTTGCTCACTAAGTCACTTATTTATTTATATAATTATATTTTTCAATAAAATATGAGATATTTATAATTCAATAATATTAAATATAAATAATCCAATAAAATATTTGATCAAATTCATTATATAATAATATAATAATTTTATAAAAGTTCAATCTTTTCAAAGAAGATACAAATATTATAATTATATTATAAAAATTATTAATTTTATAATTCATAATATTTTACAAATTTATGAAAATTATGTAAAGAACTTAGAAAATTTTACAATTATATTATATATTATTAATTATTATATTTATTTTTATATTTTTAATCTTGTATTACTATATTTTATACTTTTATATTTTTATTATTTATTCTGAGTGAATATATTTTAGTCAATCAAAAATTTTTGTAACTTATTTATTTTTCTACTTTTCATATTTAGTAAATTAAAACTCTATTTTTAGTTAATATATTTATTTTTTATATTTTTTTTCTTGTTTTTAATATTATATCTATATTTATGAAAAATATATAAATATAAATTGTAATTAAACCTTAACTCAATATATTAAAACTTGAAAATAAATAATATAATAAAACAAATATCTTTTAATACTTAAATAATTCATTTTTCTCTCTTAACTATATACTTTAAAACTTGCAAAAAAGTAATTTTGAATTATATTGAGTTGATTAAAATATTGTTATTGAATTATTGAATTAATATTTTGTTATAAACTAGTTTTTTGATATTTGAATTATTTAAAATTTCTTAACTAAAGATATTATATTCTCTTTTTATAAGAAAAACAAGTGAAAGAATCTTTGTTATTTTTGTTATTATTAGCTTTGAAATATAATTATACTAGTACAAAAAATAAATATTTTAATTTATATATTAATTAAAATATTTTGTTTAATAAGTATGATTAATCAGAATATTATTCATAAATCAAATATTATTATTTTGTCCCTTTTCATATTTTATTTTTCTTTTGAACTATAACAATTTTAGTAAAAATTAATATAGGACTTAGATAGATTTCTTATTAATCTTATATATTTCTTTCAATTCCAGTTCATATTATTAGTTAATTATACAATTAGTAAAAAATGTGTAATATTACTCTAAATCTAATACTTAATATCTAATATTAATTAGATATTTTAAATGAATCTATTTTTAGATCATGTAATTAAAACTTTTTTTCATCATGACTAGAATATTATGTAAGAATTTAGTCTAAAATGTATAATATTATCATGTAAGTATAACTAATAGATTTGTAAATCTCAACAAGAATAAATATTTTTGTTCTAATAGCTTTTTCTAATTATAAATGTGAGTCAGACATTCATAAAGTAACTCATATTCTTGAATTCACAAATTCATTAATCTTTTTGTTTTTTAATGATATGGGTGAAGAGTTAAATGAATTGATATTTTTGCTTGTAAAATCTGAACAGGTTCAGTATTGGAAGAAATATTATTTTGTAATTGCTTTTGTTCCAATTTTGTGAGTTTATTCTTGAGCTTTGTATTTTTCTGTCTAATCTATTCCAATTTCATGATTCTGATCTTAAGCTCAACATTTTCTTTTGCGGATTGTTCTAACTCTACAATTATAGTCATAAGTCCTACTTTCTTAGTCAAGAGCTTAGCATTTTTGTCTATGAGTAAATTCTTCTTTTTAAGTTTAACAATCTGGAACGTGAGCCTGAAATTCAATTTCCTTAATGAATGAACAGAGTTCGTCAATTTCAGATTGAGTTTTTTCATTATTTTATACAAGATGCAGATATATTCAAAAGTTCAAATTAGAATGTCCAGTTTACTATATTTGCAGAATTTGCGGAATTCATGATTTATAATATGATTTGTGTATATAATTTGCATAATGAGAATTTTATAACTTGCATTATAAAAATGACTAACTAATGATTAAAAATTTGATCTTTATAATGATATTGCACGTTTTTCAGAATCAATTGCAGTAAATTACTGCGCAGAAATACAGTAAACTAGACACTCTAGTTCGAATCAAGAAAAATCACGTGACAAAACCGTCACGATTCGTGATGATCGACAAAAAAATTTAATATGAACATACAATGTATATAGCCTTTCGGCTCGAATTCTTTATTGGCGGAGCCAGCACGGCTGATACAATAAAAATATATGATAATATATACACCATCTCTATATTTACCTATTATAGGGTGAAAGTTTCATGGTAGACGAACACTAGCTTTTTCTAATGCCTGCAATCTTAATGATATTCCGAATTTCATCATATGTAGGAATATCGAACTTTGCCGACTCAAATGATGCATACATAGAATCCACCTCCCACATAAATAACAAAGACAGCACGAATAAAAACCACGATGACGCAAATCCAAGCATTAGCAGCTTTGTTAAAGAATATAAAACTGGTTTTGAAAGTGCCTACCACCTTCAATTATGATCGCTTTCACAAGAGCCTTGTGCATGTCCCTAAGTGTCTTTAGAACCTTTAGAATATCTGAAATATTCTTCGTGTCATTATCAACTTTGGAACCTGCACGCTCACACAAAGAAAATTCGCGACCATATGGCAAATCTGTTCCTAGATCATGTTTCTGTGGGAAATGGGAATCTGTTAATAAACAAAAGATAATGACAATAAAAAGCTTTGTAAAATTTATCATACCGTAAACATCCAATCTAAATGGTATCCTTAACAATCCTCACGGTCTAATTTTTTTCAAGTAATTCCACCGATTCAAACACTCGCCAGGATCGTGGGATTTGACCCGCCTAGAAACTTCCTCCCACGACCCTTCGAGAATGATATCAAGGCTATTTATTAACATTTCATCTTCCCAAGTTATCCAGGAACCCCGCTGTATTTTTCGGGGCATCTGTTACTTCACTTTTTGATTTCTAGATGCCCTTGACACCATTTCTCCACTTAAATTGAGAAAACAATTAGTGTTATTATCGTATTATCAACAATGAATAGTAGTAATGGAACCTACAAATGACTATCTAGGATATCATCAAGACATGAAAAGATGAACATGTCTATGATTCTTTCTGAATTTTTTCGTTGGGAGATTTTCTTTGTCAACATCTCACATCTGATTGTAAAGAAGTGCATTATTAGAAGCCCAAGTAAATCTATGCAAAATAACAAAATTCTGATTTGTAAATAAACTTACATGTATCGGACCAATTCTAAAATAAAACCAACATCTATATCTAGATAGTCTTCCTCTTCAACAAGAAGAAATGGTGGTTTATCATTTAAGTCTTCACTAAATAAATCGAATTCTAAGTCTGATTCCTTGGTATCCTTCACCATTTTTCGAAGTTCAAGAACGGCCCCATAGACTCTCTTAAGCTTAACTACTTCTCCAATAGCACGGACCTGATCAGTGTCCAGCTAGGAAAAAGTGCATGTTAATAAGATTTTCATATAAAAAAATCACAATGCTTTATTTAAACATCCACCTTGACAAGAGATTGCAGGCATCTTTCAGCAGCAGGCTCTAATACGGTCCAGTCATTTTTGTGACCAATGTTGAGTGCACTTGAAAATGTGGCATTCAGATCTAAAAATGAAAGCTTGCACAATATTCGAATCTGATGCATTTATGATCCGCCACCAGATTGGTCTAAATAACGAAATTGATTAGGATTTGTCCATTTATTAAGCATTTACTCGTATGGATCAGTTTTGTGTAATCAATGTTTTATGTCATTCCATTGCTTTTTGTATCCAGCTTGGAATTGGTGTGTCAAGTTCCCAATCCGTCAAGGGTACCTCGTCGATAATTTCGGAATCATCGGTAATTTCACTTCTATTATTCTCGGTGGAGTCAACATATTCGTTTGGCCTGTACCGTATTACAAAAAAACGACGTTAGTCATATCTGTACAGAATTCATTTGTTTATAAAACTGTGAGCTATACTTACCTTTTTGATTGATGTTGCAGAAACTGTTTCTTCATCGACTTTTGAGGCATTCTGTTTGTAAGACGATATTTGTTTTTCTTGCACAGCGGACGAAGTTTCTTTAAGATGGCGGAGACCTATTCCTTCGAACTCTACCATCCCTTTTTTCTGAAATCAAAAAATAAAGAGTCAGCGAAATATTAAGCACTAGAGATAGTTCCTGCAAGGACAACCTACCCACTGTAATTGGACCTCTTCATCAACTATCTCAGATTCCAAAAGAGTTTTACCGAATTCGATTTTCTATCATCCTTAAAAAGATTATTTTATAAGAAAAGACAATTTTTTTGCTTTATAAACAGATCTGTTAAATAACAAAAAAAATTCGAAACGTGACTTAATGTGGCTTATGTATCACAAACACATGATATATGTGGCTTATGATTACAAGTACATGACTTGTTTAATTCTCCGATCTTAGTGTGTTACAACTCCCAACAAAAAAAGTTCGAAACGTGACTTATGTGGCTTATATAACACGTGGATGATTTTATATTGAAATCGATTCGTCGCTCTAGCCCGATTTTTCGAATGATGCCATTATCAACAAATGAAAGTTTGTAATTTGTTTTTCATGATGCTAAAATCTATTAACTACTCGTTAATACAATAAACTCTCTTCTTCCTCTCTCACCAATACACTTACTAACAAAATAAATCTTTTTTTACTAACTATTGACTAATCAATAGATTCAATAATGACTAGTTAGATTTTGAAGTTAATGAAAATAATATAATTATGTTATTTCCACTTAGTCTAGGTTATTTCACTCGGATATGTGTTATGATGACAGAAATCTGACACTGTCATTATGTGTCATGATAACAGAAATATGATACTGTTATCAGTATTGTGATATGTATTTTATGATACATTTTTAATAACAGAAATATAACACCATTGTCAATGTCATAATATATATTTTATGACACATAGATAAATAGAAAGCTTGTATATTCTTTAAAAAGTCAAATTCAATATTGTTATGATATGAATATTTAGTTCTTATTTTATTGGTTAATTCATATCATAAATTTAATTGGATGATATTTTA